TTTACAAATTGCTAACGTATTGTATATAATCATCCTTTATATAAAATGAATTTCGTGTTCGATGTACTTTCATGTAAATATACACTGAAAACGCAACGATACTAAACGATTCTATGCTTAGTTTTTACAATAGCTTTGGTTAAAAAAACGATAAATCGATAATTTAAACTGATATCATTGTTATAAATTTATACATTATTAATCATATTTTCATTGTAACTGGGCTGCAATTTAGATAAATTTATAGACCTATAAATTTCCATTGTTCTGCCTGTTCGTCCTTGACATTGAGAATGGAGTTAGATAGATAAAAGTTCAAAGCAGATGTGGAAATTGTGGGTGTAGGAGGCCCAGATCCTATTGTTAGCAGGAAAAGTATATCGTACAGGGACAAGACACTGCTAACTTGAGATACAGAGCATTGCGACGATGCCACAGTAAACAATTGTTCGTTTTATTATTGTTTCCCAAAGAATATAAATCTTATAACGTAATTTTTAAATGAAAAAAGATGAACCAGAAGCGAAAAATACAAAATTAAATAGGATCTATGATTAGCCTCTGTATAATTTACATATCATCTTAGGAATTAGTTTATTAACTTTTACGATATAAGTATATATAGTAATACAATATAGTTCACGGGGGTACAAAATAAATATGTTATATACAATATACTATTTCATTTTAATTTTGTTTAGCTTTTTAATTGTAAACGGGAGAGGTTAAAGCCGTAAAACTTACCATGTTACACGTAGCATACCCCGGCATATATAGTAAAACTGTTTAAACAGGAACCTAAATAAAACGAAAACCTGCTTAAACGGAGAAAAAATTGTCCGGAACGAAGCGATTTTCTGTATTAATAATGAAAACCCTGTTCAAAACGGCGTGTGATTCCGGTTTACACAGGTTTTGATGTACGAAAATGCATAAATAGTCGCTACTACCTCAATAAAGATCGTTGTAATTTGGTTAAAAACGTTAAATTACACACCTTAAAATTATAAATACAAATATATTTTTCGTCTTATAGAAAATTATTTAGAATTTATAAATCAGTATAATTTTTAAAAATCTAAAAGCATTTTCCATAGATTTTAAAATCATAAAAATTATTAATAAGATTTGTTTTGTTTTCTGACAATTTATTCTATAATTTTTATTGTAATATATGACTTAAGGATAGATAATATAATATAATAATAGTTAAAACTCTCAATTTTTTACCATACATTTCAGGATGCACAGTGCAATGAAAAATTTACAAAAGTAAGTAAAATTTAATTTGTAGTCCTATAAATTCCCCATTGTCGTCCGTCTGTGTGTCCGTCCTTCCTTATAGATGAAAAAACGTGACCGGATATGGAAACCTGGAGGCCCCGATTAACTATATAAGAAATTCCGTGTAAATTGGAAGTTTTCTATATTAAAAATTACATTAATAAAGACATAAATATTTCGATTTATTAAATTATGATTATAAAGATTTTCTTTTTCTTATTTTAGGTACAGGAAAATGTAAGAATGAGCTTTTAATTAATGAAAATTTACAACATTTTCTTTTTAATTATTATATTAATTCTATGAATGTAATTTCTGTTTAGACAATACTTCAACGCTATTTTAAAATGAAGGTAATAATAAAGTGTATAAATAATTTTAAATACAAATTTTATTTCTATAATTTTAAATAGAAATTAGAATAGATTTTGTATATCTTTATTTGATATACACGTACTTAATTAACGTAACGTAATAATTTATAACAAATATTTCTTGTGTTTTTTTCCTTCACTTTTGTATAGTTACGGCCCAAAATTTGTAATGACGGAGGAAGAGGTTTTTGTGCAAAAGTAAAATTATTTACATTTCTATAAACTTAATAATGCAAGTTTCTATACAGTTAAATAAAACTACAGTCGACACCCCTCCCTATAACACTGTTGATATATTCCGTTTTATATGAAATCCATGTTGTACGAGTCACTTAGATTTTACAAATACGTGTTCCGGGCTATGAACGGCTTACGTATTTGAAAATCTAAGTGACTCGTACAACATGGATTTCATATAAAACGGAATTATCAACAGTGTTATAGGGGGATTGACTGTATTTTAAATCTTAACTAATATCTAAATATTTGAATAATTATATATAATTATTAAATTTTGTTATTTAGTTTTTTTTTCTTCAAATTATTGTAGGTAAAACGCAGACTTTCATATATCTGATTAAGGTAAAACAATTATTAAAATATATTTTAAAACATTTTAAAAAATTTAAATTATAAATGTAGTTAGTCTAGATCAATCTTTTCTTGTAGAATATTTTAGATTAATTAATTTAATGCTAATTTTTACCGTAGGAAAGGTATTAAAGTTTTACCTTCATCAGCCTTAATGCTAATTATAGTATAGTCTAGAAAAATACAAGTTGACCCACCTATAACACTGTTGATAATTCCGTTTTATATGAATTCCATGTTGTACGAGTCACTTAGATTTTACAAATACGCGAGCTGTTCACAGCCCGGCTCACGTATTTGTAAAATCTAAGTGACTCGTACAACATGGAATTCATATAAAACGGAATTATCAACAGTGTAGTAGGGGGGGTCGACGTACTACACGTATGCTATGTAAGGCAGTAAACATTTAGGACAACAAAGAAACTTCGAGAGATTGTATTTATTAAGAAAACTGAGACGTTCATAGAACCAAAATTGCTTGTATTTGATCCCTGTCTAAAAGCCATTTTGTTTGAGAAAATTTCTTACGATATAGCCTGAATACAGGGTGTTAACTACTGGTAATATATGCCTACGTGTATCTACACTTATATATTAAAATAATAAGTACAAATAAAAATAGGCCACAAAACCATATAAAAGAAGTTAGAGCGTATTTTATTTTCTTTTACTCTCTTACGTCACAGAAGATCTTTAAATAAAGTAGCTGCCACTCTGAGGCACACAATTTAAGAGTTAGTGGACCCGATTACGAACATGCTTTTCTTTTTTTTCTAATTTTGGGGTTTTTAAGTATGTGTGTGCCTCACGTGCCTAGTTCCTCACGTGCCTAGTGCCTAGTTGCCCACTAGGCACGCTACTTTAAGCTAGTAGACACTAGCTTAAAGTAATTCATATTAATATGATATTGATTATTAATTACTTTTTTTTTACAATAGACTGCGATATTACGTTATAAATTAATAACAATTCTTTAATTGAACAGTTTATTTATGCCATGTTTTGAAGGAACGAAACATTGTTTATATATTTTTCATTTTCTAATTATTATTTTATTTATTTATTTAGAAAAGAAATGCAAAAATTTATAATTGCCTGCACAAGAATATATGAAATTTGTTTCAATGTATTACGAAATTATTCTGTAATGTTTTTTTCTTCAATGGTTTTGGATTAATGTATGATTTTATATGGAATTTTGATCTATATAATCAATAAAACTTTATTATTGTTATGCTGTGTTATGAATTTCTTTGTCAATTTAGAGAGTAAAACATTTAAATTTTTATTTAAACAAATGTAGAAAATTTGATTTTAGTTAAATTATGTTTTATTCATAACGGTTGGCTGCAAAAGGCTACTTTTGATAAAAATTGCCTTTGGCGAAACATGCTTTTACTTTTTTTTTTTTCGTAAAAGGCATAAGGTAAAAGCGAAATTCCTCTGGATTTTGTTGGGTAAGCGAAAACAGGTATTAACATAGGTACTTTGTGGCGTAAAAGCGGGGATTTCTGTATAAAGGACGAATGATATATCATTTAAAAGGAATGCTGTAATAATAATGTAGCCATTGCTCACGAATTTTGTGATAATTGGAAAGAAAAATAAACGAAAGATGTGATCTTACGACATCAAAAACTTATTTCTCTTCTCCCATCGTCATCAATGATCAGATACAAACGAATCCCCCTCCTTCATAAAATACAGACGTAATACTTGGACGGTTATTTCGTGATTATATAATTAATATTAACAAAGAAATTAATGAATAAATTTAATAATTCAATAAATTTTACTATCACATATCTGACAATTTCCAATTTTTTAAATCCGAGTTTAATAATTATTATTAGTAATATATTTAAAAATGTCTAAATAATCAATAAAATTTTATTACACTAGATTTTATGCTGGTAATAAAAAGAATATAATAGCATTTCATTTATTTTCTTAACAATTACGTTAGGAACTCGCTCCTTTTCCTATAAAACAGTTGATTACACACACTCCTGACCTACATAACAGCCACTTCTCATAAAATCAATAAGCTTAAATATAAAATAAAAATGATGTAACAATCTGAAGCATTATATTTTATACTTTAAAATTCCAACCTAATTAAAATTTATTATTAACGTTAAAGATCTTCTCCGAAACATTAAAAATAGGCTACGTAACAACTATTTTAACATACTTTCTATTGTATATTTGAAATATTAGTCTTCAGATTTAATGCATAACCTTTAACATCAGTGCTTTGCTTGACCTTTTCTTCCTTCACAGATGATATTGTATTTTGAATTACACATGATCAAACCTATAAATAACGAGAACAAAAACTGCTCGTTACACGGCGGTTGTTTTTGGCCAGTTATATTTGAAAAAAATTAAATACTTCTTGCATATTTAACTAAACTTATTTTATATGTATTATAATATTTTAACGTATAATTTAGTATCAATCTTGGTAACATCTACAGGCTTGCGTTTAAACTGCATTTTGAAGAGAACTCCATTAATTACATACACACGCGCACAGTTACTTCCTCGTACCCCTGTTTAAACACCTAAACTTATTTCTTTGTAATTAACTAGTAGACATTTCCTTTAAATTTTGTTTTTATATCGCAGCTTAATAAATACGGTAGACCTTCGTAAAGTTTTAAGTGAGTATCTGTTTTAATGACGGAATCATTTAATGTTTACCAAGACAAATTCTACTCCCTTAAAAGTCGAAACTCTCCGTGTTCGAATTTTATTTTTTTGTAGAGACTCTTTAAGAAATGTCAATTGTACTTTTGATTTTGTTCTGTTTGATACCATTCGGTACGGCAAAACACGAATTTATTGGTACGTTTTCTCTTTTATTTTCTATCTTTAGTATTTGAATGACAATCACACATTTAAACAGTACTTTAAATTACTTTAAAATCTTTTCTGTTTAAATTTATATTAATAAGACTTTGTTTTCAGATAAAGTAAACACGGCTGTGAGTATTTAAATAGATAAATAAATACATTTTTAATTTTAAAATATTAATTATTAATATATCTGTAATCAAGGGGTACGCAGAAAACTATCTAGAGGGGCAAAGATTAATTAAAGACAAATAATTATCAATACAGTATTATAATTTTTATTTCTTTACTTTAATTTTTAGAGGCTTTTTAAAGTAGATTATAGAATACAGCATTGTCTCAATATAAAAAGACAGACAAAGTGTCCTATTGTCGAAGGTTTACGTATCTAAATCACTTATACGATTATTGATAGAGAAGATTTAAATGATAACAAAGTATAATAATTGAGAATTTTGATTAAAAAAAGTGATTATTTTCAGATTAGCGATTGTTGCTCACAACAGAATGAACAGTCGGAATTTTCTAATGTAAGTATTTCCTTAATAAACTATTTAACATTGCCGAAAGTTTATATTTGAATGAAACTTAATTACAGTCGACCCCCCATAACACGGTAGATAATTCAGTGTTATATGAATTCCATGTTGTACGAGTCACTTAGATTTTACAAATACGTGAGGTATTCACAGCCCTGCACATGTATTTGTAAAATCTAAGTGACTCGTACAACATGGAATTCATATAAAACGGAATTATCAACAGTGTTATAGGGG